AAAAAAAAAAATCTGGTAAACAGCCAAAACCCAACAAACCAACCAACCCAAAACATAAAATGAAAATGAAAAAAATTCAGCAAAAGAACAGAGTCCAGATAATATGATAAAGTTATCATTTCAAAATACTGGGGATTGTTCAATAAATGGTAATAAGACAATTTGCTATAGAAATGGAAAAAATCAGGACATGTCTATCTCCCACTATAAACAAAAATAAAACCATAAGGATACTAGAGGAAAGTATAGGAGAATATTTCTTTTTGGGTGTATCAAGACGTACAAAATAAAATCATAAAGGTAGACAAAGGTATAGGAGAGTATTTCCATTATCTTCCTATAAGGAAACCCACAAAGAAAAAAGAATGTCAGATTTGAATACGAGTTTTTTAAATTTCTGTATGAAGAAAAACACTAAAATTTTATTTATATAACTTTACATTTTAACTTTATATAAGTTAAAAGACAAACACCTAAAAAATGGGAAAAGTATTTGCTACCTGCATTTGGCAAAGGAATGATATCCTTAATATATGCAAATATACAAATCAGTAAGAAAAAAGCAAATGTTCTAATAGAAAAGAAGCAAAGTTCATGGAAGAAATACAAATAGCAGATATTTTTCACCTATCAGACTGCAAACTATTTGAAAAAGCACCCCATCAGAGTTATCAAGAGTGTGGGGAAACAAGCCTCGGGTAAGCAAAGTTCATGGAAGAAATACAAATAGCAGATATTTTTCACCTATCAGACTGCAAACTATTTGAAAAAGCACCCCATCAGAGTTATCAAGAGTGTGGGGAAACAAGCCTCGGGTAAGCAAAGTTCATGGAAGAAATACAAATAGCAGATATTTTTCACCTATCAGACTGCAAACTATTTGAAAAAGCACCCCATCAGAGTTATCAAGAGTGTGGGGAAACAAGCCTCGGGTAAGCAAAGTTCATGGAAGAAATACAAATAGCAGATATTTTTCACCTATCAGACTGCAAACTATTTGAAAAAGCACCCCATCAGAGTTATCAAGAGTGTGGGGAAACAAGCCTCGGGTAAGCAAAGTTCATGGAAGAAATACAAATAGCAGATATTTTTCACCTATCAGACTGCAAACTATTTGAAAAAGCACCCCATCAGAGTTATCAAGAGTGTGGGGAAACAAGCCTCGGGTCTGAATTCTGACTCAAAGATTCCAAAGTTATGTGCCCTTAAGCCAGCTATTTACCCGCTCTGGGTCTCAGCATCCTCAGCTGTCCAAGGGCGGTGGCAGAACCAAACGGCATGAAGTGCTCCATGCAGAACTTGGACAAGGCAAATGTCAATAAAGTTAGCTGTTGCTGTTATTCTACACCACTGCAGGGGGTGCAAACAAAGGCTGCCTTTCTTAGAGAACAATTTTAGGAATTAACCAAACAGGAATCCTTTCACAATAGGGATAGGCATACAGTGGAATGCTGCACAGCCTGTAACATGATGTCTACAGTTAAAGATGCAGGATGCAGAGGCATCCGTGGGGGTGTGAGTGTGGAGTGGTCCCACTATACATCATTTATATGTTGATTACTTTATGCAGTTTGGTAACATTTGGCATAGATGTACAGGTCTTTAAAATGAAAATATCTTCCCTTCATATTTGGAAGGAAATATGAAGGTGCCCAAACCCAAACCTCTAATTTGTGGTACCCTTTGCTTCCTCCTAACTCAGATTTGCTAAGAACTTCCCAGCATCTCTTTCTACTATCAGGGACTTATTAGCAATCATAATTAAGTTTAAACATCTTTCCTAATTCCCCCCAGGATCACTTCTGGAGTATTCTCCTTAGTAACAAGAACTTGAGAGGCTGTTTCAAAATAAAATCTGAGTGGGATGTATTTACTTGCTGTGATTGGCAAAAACAAATCACTTTCAGGACAGAACATGACACATCTCAGACACACAGCACAACCCTACCGCCTGCTTCTGGGGACGGTGAAATGGAAGGTGCTAGTGAAGTAGGAAGGTTGGACACATTTAAGAAAACAGACATGCCTAGTGAGTACACATAAACATACCTCCTATCATGTGAAGTTTTATAATTTTAAGTTTATGCTGATAAGGTAACCTCTTCAGAGCATTAAGATGCTCCAGGCACTGAGTCTGTACAGGCTTCCGCAATATTATTAGCGGGTCTTAAACTTTTATAACATGTACCCCTTCTCAGAATCATGTTTTATATTGTATAAAATAAAATACACACATTCTAAACAAAGGAACCAATTATACTGAAATACAGTTATCAAAATATTTAGAAAACAATTTTATGATAGACTAGTATATGTGCTGCTTTATTAACACATCCAGTGACAAGGCCTAATTGCAGGTCCAAGTAGTAATGAACTAAATGATATTTCAAGATATCTGTAACAACAGACACGTTACTCTATGGGGACAAATAGATACTGCCAATTCTACAGTGGTTTGCTCCCTACATTCATAAAGGAAAATACAAAATTTCTTTTCTTTTCTTTTTTTTTTTTTTAAAAGATGACCGGTAAGGGGATCTTAACCCTTGACTTGGTGTTGTCAGCACCACGCTCAGCCAGTGAGCGAACCGGCCATCCCTATATGGGATCTGAACCCGGGGCCTTGGTGTTCTCAGCACCACACTCTCCCGAGTGAGCCACGGGCCGGTCCGAAAATACAAAATTTCAATTTGAGTGTAGTGAAAAGTTCACAGACCCTCTGAATTCTACCTCTGCATGTCAGACTAAGAATCACAGTGCTAAATGAAGAGCTGTAGTAAGTGCTGTGGCAGACACCAACCTCCAGAAAGTTCATGATGAGAAAGAACAGCAACAGGAAGGCCGGTGCAAAGAGCAGGCGGTCCAAGAGGAGCCTCTTGATCCCTGCCAAGGGAACCTCAGAAGGGATCCAGCTTTCCATGAAGAGGTAGAAGAAGTGACTCAGCGGCCCTGTAAAGAAGAACCTGAGGCCCCACGGTGGGTGTTAGCTAGACTGGGGCTCTCTGGAAGCACTTCATCGGTCCAACTTCACCCCCAAATCCCAGGTCCTAAACCATGCCGACATCCCTCAGTACTGACCACACAGGTCTGTATGGACCTTCAAAACGTGTTCTCTTTGAATCTGCTTCAGGCATTCTTTTTTTGCCTTTAATAGACCAAAATCGCTGTGGATCCTTTGCTCCCAATACTTTCCCCCCAGTCCTGATGTGGGTGGCCAGCTCCTTCTCAACAGTCAGCTCAGAGAGGCCTTTCCTGATTGTCCTGGCTAATGTACGTACCCCTGTGCCAGCCACTCCCTGTTCCAGGCCCTTTCCATTTCTTTTTTTTTTTTTTTTTTTTTTTGTCTTTTTTACTGACCGGTAACGGGATCGCAACCCTCGGTGTCGTGCCCGTACCGGGGACCGGCAATGGGATCGCAACCCTTGGTGTTGCACCCGCACCGCGCTCAGCCAGTGAGCGGGAACCGGTCTCCACATGGGATCCGAACCCTTGGCGGGAGACCAGCGCACTCTCCAGCACGCCACCGGGGCCGGCCCGGCCCTTTCCATTTCTGCATAACATTGTCATTATCTCATTTGATGGGTTATATTGTGCTTCTCTTCACCCCTGGGAGGTAGACTCCACAAGGCAGGTGGTGCATGTCTGCTCGTGGCTGTGTCTGCAGTGCCTAGAACAGGGCCTGGCTCTGAGATGTTCAGTAATAAATAAATGAGCACATCTCCGGTTTTATGGCTTTTCATCAAACTCTATATGGCAACTGGCAAGGGTTAAGCCTGGTGCTGCTCACTGACTTGTCTGGGCTCCTGCTATTCATTCCTAAGTGCACTTTGGGAGAGAAATGAACCCAGCCGCTACATCGACATGGACAAAAGACCTGCAGCTCCATAAAATTCAACAATGACTGTTGGCTAAAACTCTTGAATCTCTGTGCTTCTGTAATTCAGAGAGTGGACCAGAAACTAGACATGTTTCAGGATGCCGAAGTATTTCTTTTCTGGATGTTTACACAATGAAAACAGTAGAAACTAGTCATATTGGAGTTGGTTTTCCTCTCCAGAAGCTTTCAAGGTGTTTGAGTCTTGAAGTCTAACTTCAGGTTCAGGTGAATTATCTGCCTTCAGGTCTGTCTCTTGGCCAAATTAAGACAGCCACCCCTACCCATGCAATACAAAATAAAAATTATAAAACTATATACATGAATATGTATATTGCATAAATTGTATAAGCTGTTCTGATTTCATTTTCATGATGATTACTTTAATGTTTTTAAAAAATTATTTTTCCAAATTAGATTATTCCAAAAACTTGGTTTTGATACCCCAGCTTTGTTGTACTTTTATGGCACTCACCCATAAATCGCATATCTGAGAGGCCCACTGACATCTAGATTTTCAGAGTTTTCTTTTTTCCGTTTCTTCTCAATTGTCTGGGCCAGTAAGTTCCCAAGTGCTAACAAAATGCCACTGTGGATAGAGAGGTAATCAGAACAGGAGCAACCAGCACGAGGGTATCCCTTTCCTGCACGTAAATTAGCAGGGCTGCTCTGAGATCATGCTATGGATAGGTGGGGTTAGGGTTAGGAATCCTTACTAACGCAGCTGCAACATAAAGTCCCTACATCAAAGGGTGAAAACAGAACCTCACACACAGACACAGGTAGGTGAGTACAATAAGAGTTCCAACTGGTAACTATCAACATCAATATCCTGGTTGTGATGTTATATAATTTTGTAAAATGTTACTACTTAGGGAGTCAGGAAGGTATGTGGCTATAAAAGAACAAGAGAGATCCTTATGATGACACTGTTCTGTATTTTGACTGAGGTGATGGAATACATGAACCTACACACATAATAAAACTGCACAGAACTGCCGACCCGTGGCTCCCTTGGAAGAGTGTGGTGCTGATGGCACCAAGGCCACAGGTTCGGATCCCTGTATAGGGATGGCCAACTAGCTCACTTGGGAGAGCGTGGTGCTGATGGCACCAGGTTAGGGGTTAAGATCCCCTTGCCGGTCATCTTTAAAAAAAAAAAAAAAAAAAAACTGGGCCGGCCGGTGGCGCCCTGCTACAGTGCGCCGCTTGGGAGCGTGGTGGCGCTCCCGCCGAGGGTTCGGATCCCACATGCAGACCGGTTCCCGCTCGCTGGCTGAGCGAGGTGTGGGCGCAGCACTGAGGGTTGCGATCCGTTGCCGGACACGAAAAAAAGGCAAAACGGAAAAAAAAAAAACCGGGCCGGCCGGTGGCGCCCTGCTACAGTGCGCCGCTTGGGAGCGTGGTGGCGCTCCCGCCGAGGGTTCGGATCCCACATGCAGACCGGTTCCCGCTCGCTGGCTGAGCGAGGTGTGGGCGCAGCACTGAGGGTTGCGATCCCGTTGCCGGTCCCGGTCCAGTGCGGACGCGACATTGAGGGTTGCGATCCGTTGCCGGACACGAAAAAAAAGGCAAAACGGAAAAAAAAAAAACTGCATAGAACTAAATACACATATGCACACACACATGAATACAAGAAAAACGGGGAAATCCGAATATGATCTGTGGACTATATCCATGTCATGTCCCAGTTGTGATATTATACTACAGTTTTATTTTTTGTTTTGTTTCTGGTGGCTGGCCAGTAAGAAGTTCTGAACCCTTGACCTTGGTGTTATTAGCACCATGCTCTAACCAAGTGAGCTAACCTGCCAGCCCTATATAGTTTCAGAAAACGTTACCAATGGGGGAACTGGGCAAAGTGTAATAGGGATATCTCTGCATTCTTTCTTTTTTATCTTTGTACTATTTCTTACAACTGCATATGAACCTACAATTATTGCAATAACAATTTCAGTAATAAAAAGGTGGAGACAGGCCCAGTCACTCCTTCCAAGGCTTGGTCTACAGTTCCCTTCTGAGCTCTCTGAGCTATAAAATCCAAAATTCTTAGTATGGGCCATATGGCCTTCTTGATCTGATCCTTGGCTACTTCTCATCTCCCCCTTCCATTTTTTTTTTTTTTTGGCAGCTGGGGAACCCTGGACCTCGGTGTTATCCACACCACGGTCTAACCAACTGAGCCACAGGCCAGCACTCTTCTCCCTTGCTCACTACTCATTCTCTCCAGCGACACAGGCCTTCTGTCCACTCCTCCCACGTGAGCTTGCTCCTCCCTCAGGACCTTTGCACTTGCTGCCAGCACAGCTTTTGCTTAACTTCCTTACCTGGCCTGTTCAATGTCACCTCCTCAGAAAAAACTCCCCTGAGCACTTTATCTGTGCTCTATACGGATCTGCTTTTTGTCCAGTTCTTCATCAGAATGTCAGTCAGCTCCGCGAGAGTAGGGAGGGACCTCACCTACCTATTCTGATCACAGCGGTATGACCTGCACACAGGAAGCGCTCCATACATATTTATGAGTGGCTGAATTAATAAAAGGGAACGAGCTTATAAAATTAATTAGTAACAGTAACAAAAGCAGGAGATGTCTCATAAAAGGTTTAGCCTCCAAACCCAAAGACAGAACTAACCAGCAGCACCGAGGTGCTGAGTTGGTAAGCGCAGGAAGTCTTTGGTCTTCTGCATTCCTTCAGTCTGGCCCTGGTTTTCCCATTCTAGGCTGCGTAAGAATTACTTTCCAGGGCCAAATACACAGAACCGCATTTACTGAGCTTTCTGGTTGACTTAAGGGCTTTTGGGGGGTGCGGTAGTCACTTTGACACAAGGGGATATTGACTGTGGCACCCAACCCCCCGTGTAAAACGCATGTGTTCAGCTCTGTCCCTGGGCCGGGTCACACCTCCCCCGCGCCCCCGTCCCCCGACCGCGCTGCTCCCTCCCCCGCGCGCGGCCGCT